GGGGGCGCCTAGCCTGACCCACGAGCGCCAAGGCGCTGTCAGGACGTTACTCCTAAGGGAAAAGAGTCTAGGGAGTGGGGGTTGGGGGGAGGAAGTTACTTTCAGACCACGTGGCCTGTAGCGGACCAGCCCAACAGCTCCACCCCTGCAAGCTTCCAAATCGCCCGCGCTTTCCCTGCTGTGTCGTTGCATGGGGCTGGCGGGTAAGTTTGCCATCCTACCTGTCTGGCCTCTAATTATTTAAGGGTTTTCCTATCTTGACATAGGGAAATGAGGCTCTGGCAGTGTTTGTCCCCAAATTTAAAATCCATTCACATGATATCGCATGCCTTCTTAGTGCTAGGCATTGTGAATTCATCTCACGTTCCGAGGTAGGATTTAACAAGAGCAAAAGAGGTTAAATGTGGAGGATCCTATCGAGTTCTCAGTGTAGAAATATGCCAAACGAATGCCACACAGCAATTTTTGCAATACCGAGATAGAGCGCTTTAGGGAGGCTGCACGACTGAAAGACCTTCACTCTTTCCAGTAATTTTATTTTATCCAAACACCCCTCCACTTTTATGACACCATTTCATTTTGCCATATTCTGCCCCACCCCAAGCTCTAATGCCTACCAGAGAGCTCTTAGACCCCTTGCAAGGTTATTTACATGCCTCCCTCCTCCCCAAACTTCCTTCCCAAATTCAGTCTGTCTTAATAGTCTTGGGAAATTTCCTCTCTTCGTGGGGGTTCTTGGGGAGGGAGGGTTAATACCAGGCACAGAAACTCCTTGGCCTTTACTCAGAAGCTCAATCCCAGGGAAATTGAAGAAGAGATGTTATATTTCTAGATGTAGAAGAGCCTTTGTGTATTCAGTGGTAGCATAAAGGCTCTAGAGCCTGCAAGCCTGGAATTTCTTCAGAGAAAATGAATTTGGGGCTTGTGAAGAGAGAAGTAGAACTAAGAAGCTTATGGGCCAGCTCAAGATTCTTCATCCATAACATCTAGAATGTTGCTCAGGAGAATTTTGAAAGTGGGACGTTCATCTGCTTTCTAAAAACAGAAAAAAAGTAAAATGTTACAGTGACTAGAGTCCAAGGGAAATTCAATAGTAAACAGCAAATGTTTATTAAGTATATATTGAATATCCAGCAACATACCCTGTTGATTGCCAAAAAAAGGAAAAGAAGTAGCAGGCTCTCCAAAAGTGCTTGTGCACTTTTCATCTTTAGTTAACTCAGGTTATTTAATGTGATAAAAACAATTTACAAATTAAACTGAAAAACATTGATTAAAATTGAGGGGAAGTTCTTTACATAATTACAATGCATTTTTATTTTGTAGCTTCAAATGAAAATGGCTACCAAATACATTTAAGTTGTTGGCAGAACAGAAATCCTACAAAATGTGGTAATGTTTAGTTTGGTTTCAAACACTGTTTCTGTCATTTCAAAGCGAAAATGAACAAAGGGCTTAATATTTCACAGCTACAGTCTATATCTCTGGGCAGAGAATCTGAACCACCTGGGATCTTTTGTTAGTCTGGCTTCCAAGCTAAGGTTCTTTTTGACAGCCATGGTCGATAAGCCTCTGATGTATTTAGTGATTCAGGGAACATTTACGCCAGAATGGTCTCAATCTGACAAAACCAAAAGGTCATCAGTTTTGTAGTCCTTTAAATCAGTGGTTCTCAAAATGAGCAAAATATAAAAATTTCCAGGGAAGTTTAAAAATATTCCTGAGTTAATTTCAGATATTACCTAATCAGAATTTCTGGGTAAGAGCCTTAGTAACTTACATTTTGAAAAGTTCCCCAGGGATTCTGGTGTGCACCCTGTTTTGTTTGTTGTTTTTAAAAATATTTTGGTTTTAGTTGTAGTTGGACACAATACTTTTATTTTATTTTTTGTGGTGCTGTGGATCGAACCCAGCACCCCACACATGCTAGGCGAGCACGCTACCACTGAGCTACAACCCCAGCACTGTGCAGCCTGGTTTTTGACCACTACTTTAAATAAGCTATTGAGAAAGTACCATCTGAATTTTTTTTTAGCTAGCAGAGTAAGGATGTCCTGGTTAGAAGGAATCATAGCCCATTACCCCAGTCCTTCATTATACAGGAGAAAAGGGGAATTACTCCAAGGGATTTTCCATTTCTCTATACTTTCTTTATGATCTCTGTCATTTGTCCCAAAGGAAAGGAGCCAATGTTCTGATCCTAATTTTCATCTCATCAAGAGGACTCCATATTCACATCAGTGTTTGTTGGATACTATATTTCTATTTCTAGTGGGGCAGAACTAAGAGCTGAGCACTTACTTCCTACTAAAGATTTATGTTGTCAAATTAAGGTTTTGTACTGAAAAGTGAAAAAAAGCACCTAAGAAAAAACCCGAGATCAGGAAAGCATTTTAGTAATAGCGGGACAGGCTTCTTATGTCCACAATAACACACCTTCCCCCAAACTCCACAGTGTAACATATTAAAAAGCAAAAACAGAGAGGTGTCACATGCCAATAATCTCAGTGACTCTGGAGGCTGAGGCAGGAGAACTGAGGCCAGCCTTAGCAATTTAACCAGACTTTGTCTCAAAATTTTTAAAAAGACTGGGGATATACCCCAGGGGTAGAGTGCCTCTTGGTTTAAGCCCAGTAGCTGTCCTCCCACACATACATACAAATAAACAATAACTACCTATTTGTGGTCCCTTCTAAGTCTTAGGGTTATAAAAACATTTTGGGGGGCTGGGGTTGTGGCTCAGTTGTAGTGCCAATAACTCCTAGCAAATGAACACAAACCTCAATGACTTTTCTTTTGCAATGCCCACACACTTACCTGAGTGCCTTTGACTGGCTGTGGTAGGCTAGATGACATGACCATACAACAGCCCCTCCCACTAAAGCTGAGTTGGCATTGGGGTCTGCTAACGATACTGTAGTGAGAATTGGGGTGGGCCTGGGGAAATCTCTGGTCAACAGAGGATTTGAGTGCAGGCCAGGGTCAGGGAATGTGTGCAGTTATCAGTCTGTGCCCAGCTTCCATACAGCCATGGAAAGTGGAGATTGGCCAGCTAATGAGAAACTCAGTTCAAGGAAATAATTTAAAAGGTCACAGTAAAACACTTACCTCATGCCAGCAACTATACATAATGGTATATACCCTCTCTGAAGCCAGATGAGGCCTATAGAGACGTAGGCCTTTGGCAATATGTTCAGCAGTCTCACTGTTATTAAATCTCTCATATGGCATTTTCCCAAGGGAGTAAATTTCCCACATTAAAACCCCTAGAAGATAATAAAAAACAGTATTAAAACAGTTTTTAGTCGTTTGGGAAGAGTAGGTGTCCTAGTCTACCTAGAATAGGTTCCAAGATCAATCTCAAAGACTAGAATCAGCTTGTTCCCCCTCTGTGCTTTTTACATTTTGTCCAAACTACTGCAATAGTACTGACTACACTGGATGGCTGTTGGAGTTTTACTGGACCATTAGCTACTCTAGAAGAGAGGCAGCATCTTATTTGTCTTTGTAGTTATAGGGTCTGGCAGAATGCCTAGTACATAATCAGTATTCAGAAGCTGTTGAATACTGAATGAATTGTTTGTTTCCCTCAATATATTGTAAGTTCTAAGAAGGCAGGGATCATGTCCAGTTGACTGTGTCCTCAGAAACCCCTGAGGTTTCTGACACATAGTAAGCCCTCTCTAAGGATTAGATAAATGAAAGCAAGAACAGTCTTTCTGTGCAGTTTGCAAAGTTGAATTTACCCATTGCATTCCTCTTCCTTTGAGCTGTATAATCTGTACAATCTTATCCACTTACCAAAAGCCCAAATGTCAGATTTGCTGCTGAACTTGCTATACATAAGGACTTCTGGTGGAGACCACCGTACTGGAAATTTAGAGCCTACTGAGCTGGTGTACTCATCATCCAGGACATATCTGTAAGGGATTCAAGACATGTTACTGTTAGGATTTAGAGAACTTGATATTTGCTTAAGTCTTCTTGGTACAATCACAAGAGCTGCACAAATACACACTTACAGGCTTTCTGAAAAGTCTCTGTGGGTTAGCCAATGTCTTTTACAAATGTTACATTTAACAAAATTCCTGTTTTCATTACTGATTCAGCTTTCCTCATTGACAGTCTGGTTATAGGAAGAATGAGGTAAAAGAAGATCTAATAGGTACTCCTTTTCTTTTCTCTATCTCCTTTTCATTTCTCTATTCTTCTTCCCTTCCTTCTACTGTTGCCAGTGGAGATTAGACTAATTAAGAAGGAGAGATGGAGGAAAGTCAACAGAATTAACAGGTCAAGTTAAGTGTTTCCATATTTTTTATTGGTGCATTATAATTGTACATAATGGTGGAGTTTGTTGTTACATATTTGTACATGCCCACAATATGATTTGTCCAATATCATTCCCCAGTGAGGAAATATAGTTTTTTAAAAAAGGGATTAGAGGTAAAAGGGAAAAGGATAGAAGAATGTAATAATAAAGTAAAAGGATGAAAGAAGTGACCTAAAGAATTCAGAGGACATATTGCCTTTCTAGTGTCTGATGTAATGTTTTGAACGACCAACGATAAAAAATAAATAAATAAATAAATAAAAAAGAATTCAGAGGAAGAAAAGGATTAGAAAGATGGTAGAAAAACACACAATGAGAACAGAAAAGGAAGAGGAAATTAAAACTGTACCAGCCAGGGTAACTCCACATCATGTACAACCACAAGAGTGGGATCCTAAATAGAATAAGTTATACTCTATGTATGTATCATCTGCCAAAATATATTCTGCTGTTACATATAACTAAAAAGAACAAACTGAAAAAAACCCCACCTTGCCATGTTTGTAGCATGCAACTTTAACTTTTAAAGGGAAAGATGAAAAAGGCATACTTACCTGGACAGGCCAAAGTCAGATACTTTCACAACTCCTTGATCATTTACCAAACAGTTTCGAGCTGCCTGTAGTACAACAACAGATACCAATGAGATCCTGTCTTTAACACAAGTTAAAGACACAGGTTAAAGATAAGCTTCTGCCTATCAGTGGAATGAAGCCAGAAATACTTCATCCCCTTCCACCAAAGACACCTTCCCACCGAATAGAAGTCGGTTGCTGCCAATGTGAAAATCTGATGCATTTCTACTGCATGGAAAGTGACCTAGTATTCAGTCCTGAATAAAGTACTGAGAACATACAGCATGATTTAATTCACAAGAGAAGTTCCACAACACTGCTTCCTTTATTGAAATGCTAAGAGAATTAAGGGAGATCAGGAGGTAATTTTGCTTTCTGCCTTGCTGCCAATAGAAATAGGATTATTTGAATTCTGTCCTGGCTGAAAGAAATAGGGGCACAACTCTGATGTCGCTAGGAACCAGGCAGGCAAAGGAAGAGTAAAGTAGGGTAAGTGGAGATTGCAGGAAATAGATAACCTGATCTAAAACAGGCAGCTGCTCAGCTCCAACTGACTCAGTGTTATCAATGAATGTTATCCAAGTGTCTGTGAGAATGCCGGCCCAGTATTTCAAAATGGCCTAGATTTCCAAGAGAAGCTGGAAATTCCTGGTTTTATTTTTTTATTTCTTTTTTTTCTTTTTTTAAAGAAAGAGAGAGAGAGAGAGAGAATTTAATATTTATTTTTCTTTAGTTTTTTCGGCGGACACAACATCTTTATTTGTATGTGGTGCTGAGGATTGAACCCAGCACTGCGCACATGCCAGGCAAGCACGCTACCGCTTGAGGCACATCCCCAGTCCAATTTCTTTGTTATTTTGTTTTTGAAGTACTGAGTATTGAAGCCAGGGGCACTTTACCACTGAGATACATTCCCAGCCCTTTTAATTTTAATTTTAATTTTTTTTGAGATAGGGTCTCACTAACTTGCCCAGGCTGTCCTTGAATTTGCAATCCTCCTGCTTCAGCCTCCCAAGTCTCTAGAATTATAGGCATGTGCCATTGCACTTGGAGTCCAATTTTTTAATATGAAATGTTTATATTAAAGTTTTTACTAACTATTCTAAGACAATTTTAAACACCATGTGGGCAAATGCAGCCATGAGCCCCCCAGTTTTTAACTCCGCTCTAAGTAAATGGTGATTCCATGCCAGGAGCAGTCCCATTGGGAAGCATAGGATTGCCCTTCTGCTACAAGTCTAGAATGGCCAAAGAAGGACTTCCTCATTGGCCAATGACCACTTCCTCTTACATGGCAAGAAGCTGGGATGAGTGGCTGCCTAGCTCTCACCATAGCCAGCCTCATGAAGTTGAGGCTGGAGATTCTAGACTAGCTAACCACTAGGTAGAGGCATTCCTAACTTGTAGTGTTTTCTAGATATAACTGAAATGCTGGCACCAGCAACCTTCCTTAACAATGCACAGTATATCTTCCATGGCTACTTCCAACCCTTTGATCCCAGGCCAATCCTTCTGATGTCTCACCAGGTCTCGGTGAAGGAACTGCTTTGACTCCAGGTATTCCATGGCTTCACAGACATCTTTGCACATCTCCAGCAGCTGCTGAGTCTGGAAGCGGTGGCGCATCTCCCTCAGGTAGTTCAGGAGGCAGCCATTGGCCATGTACTCAGTGATGATGAAGATGGGGCGTTGTTTGGTGCAGACGCCATACAACTGCACCAGCTTCTCATGGGAAAGATTCCTATAGAAGAGGCAAGGAACTAGTCCTCCCCTTTTGGCTCTGCATACTAGTTATAATGGGGCTGAGGAGGGAAGGGTTTGGCCTAGGATAGATAATTAGGTAAGGTAGCATAATAGCAACTTTATTTATTTCCTTTCCAACTCACACCCCAGAAGTGTCTAATATATGGGGTGCACAGGGATTTGGAACATAGCAATTGAATAGGAAATAAATCCAGGGTTGAAAGATCACTCAGGCTAAATTAGAATCATCTTTTCTTTGAAAGTCTCACTTTCTACATCTACCCCGAAATGCTACTGAGATGATACACACTCATGATCAACACTATTTTCAAACAGTATCTAAGGCAGAGAAATGATTACCTTAGCAGTTATGATTCCCAGCAATCATGGGTTGACCTCAGGCCATGATCCCAAATCTCTATCACTGTAAGACACCTTGGACCATGGTGGGTTGTCCTAATAATTCTTAGACTTCAGCAACTGAATTAAGAGTTGAGTTTAGGTTGTAACTCACATCATGACTTTGGCTTCTTCAATGAACTCATCTTCAGACATGGAGCCTTCTTTGATCATCTTGATGGCCACATCATACTGACCTCTCCATTTCCCATACTTTACTACTCCAAATTGTCCAGTTCCAAGCTCCTTCAAGAAAGTCAGGTCCTTTGGATCGATTTCCCATGATCCTAACAACAAAGTCTTAGTGTGATTCTATAGGGGTCATGTATATATAATTCATACAATATATATAAAGGCTTACTAGGGTAAAAATAGGAAAAACAGTAAATGGTAAGTGCTTAGAAGTACTAATCCACATTTACTCAGGTAAATCTCAGGGGCAGAGGGTTATTAGAGGAGTATGGGAATTTTAGGTGGAAGTTAATCATAAGGGAAAATAGACTAAAAATATTCCCAAAGCCCTTTATTATTATTTGTATGATGGTAATTAACAAACTCAGGAATGATGCTGAAAAATTTTACCACAATTAAATGACAAAAGACCTTAAACTTCAAATCCTTTTATGAATGATCTATATTCTGCAGTACCCGTATGCACCACTAGAGGGAGAAAATCATTAAATAACTGGCTCTTTTGACCTTGAGGCAACTGGTACAGAACAGCAGACCTCAAGGACGCTCTCTAAGGCAAGCTCTGTAAAGGTAGTCTTGCAACTAGCCAGCCCCACTACCCTACATAAATAAGCAGTTACCGTAGCCCAGGCCTGCAGTGGAAGGTGCATTCTTGTTTTTCTGAGACACTGGATATTTCAGCCTAGATATGAGTCCTGAAAGATACAGAGGGGTCATGCTTTTGATTCACCATGGGGGTAAGGTGGGTTGGACATCCTCACTTCAAGCCTCATACTTCCAATGTGCATCCTTCTAGTACATTTTGAATCCTAAAAGATCTCTATGAACCCACATTTTTCTGGAAGTTTTTCCTCTCACAAAAGAGTTTTCAGGGACAATGGAGAAAAAATACTAATTGAAATACACCCCTTATTAAATGTATTCCCACCTTCCAGACAGACTTAATTCACATCCTACCTTCTCAATGAATCTTTTCCTATGTATTCATACCTTACTAATTTCTCAATATTTATAATTTCTACACTAATTAGAAACTGTATTCTGATATTATCTAATCTGTATGTTCTTTTAGGACAAAGACTTCAACTATGAATTTTCCTTTGTTCTCTTCTAGAACATAGGAACTTGCTGAGTACATGTAGGAACTTGAATAATTGTTAATGTATACTTGCTGACTATTTATTCATTAGCCTCTTCTGTGTCTTTCTTTAGCACCAAGCATCAATAACCAAATAATTCCTCCCCTATTGGATATAAAATATGACCACCTCTTAACTAGAGTCCTACTCATCTCACAGAGGTTTATTTTTACACCTAATCCACACTGCCCTATGAGGTATATTCTTTCTCTCACCACTTAGTCCTGAATTGCTTCTAGTGTTTATAATACCCTTCTCAGTTGCACTGGTACTCACCGGCAGAGTTATGCTGATGGTAATTAATGAGCTCAGGAATGGTGCTGAAAAGGTGTTTCTCAGCCAGGTAATACTGGCTCTGAGGTGTGGAACACACAACATAATGGCGTATCACCCCTTGAGGGTCCCTGAAGAAGTGGATAGTCAGTAACTGGGCACAAGGATTGGAAGGACCCAAAAAGTGAAGTAAAATGAGTTTGACTTTAGGGGACAGAAGAAATGGGATAGGCACACCATTAAGGAGCTGCTAGGAGGGCACCCTGATCTTTAATCCCAAGGGTCCTGGAATAGCACTCACCCTGTAGATTTAGCAAACACAGACACAGTATATTTTCCAGCTTTGCTCGAGTCTCTGACAATGAAACCTCCTTCTTTCCCCTGAAACAATAAAAATGAAGCTGACTGTAGGAGGGAGTGGTGCTCACACTTGAACCCATCTGCCCAAACCTGAGAGAAAATAGAACAACCTGTGATTTCACTGTCAAGTCCCAAGCTTGAGCTTCAGCCTCCTTGATTGCTTGTTTGGTTATTTATTTATTGTTATTTTGTTACTGATGATTGAACCCAGGGAAACTTTGCCACTGAGCTACATTCCCAATCCTTTTTATTTTGAGATAGGACCTTGCTTAGTTGCTGAGGGTCTCACTAACTTGCAGAGACTAGCCTCAAACTTGCCATCCTCCTACCTCAACATCTTTAGTTGCTGGAATTACAGACACGAAACATTGCACCCAGCCTTGCCACCTTGCTTTTAATACTGAAAAGTGTAATTGGGAGCCCAGATGAAGGCCACCTTGACTCTGTATTATCTGAAGGTGATGGGCAAAATAGGCCCTTAATTCAGGATCCTTGTTCATTATGTACAGAGAATGTCATTAGCTTGTGGTCCACACTTACCTCTTGCTTTAGTAGTTGCTCAGCTTGACTCCGAGTCATGTGTTTGGAATACCACCTGTGAAGGGAGAGAGTTTTTGAGTGGCTCTGAGCCATGTTTAGTGACTCAGAGGTTAGAGCTCCAAATTCATCCATGTGTATGATTCATTCAAACCCTATTTAGGGAGACCCTATCATGCAGATAGTACATTGTATCCCTTTCGAACGCCCAGATTGGCACTGAAATGGAAAGTAGAGGGCAAAGAAAGGAAGCAGGGTTTGCAGGGACAAGATCCGAGACTGTCATTCAAGGACAGACCACTTCTATGATGAGGATGTCAGCACAAATTTGGCATTTTTATCCTTTCAAGTGTTTCTAATCAGGTTGTCAAGTCTCCTTTGAGTGCGATTCTTCTGAATTTGGGAGTGTGGAAACCTCTCCAGCATTCATAAGCTGAGAACACTGGGATCACAGTAAGACTCAGCACAAACTTGGGGTGGCACCATTTGACCCAGCTGTAACTAATTTTAATATATGTGCCTTGAAATAAAAATATTTGTTGAAAGTATAAAAGGAGCATAGACTTTATTTTGTACCTCTGGAAGATTGTGTCGTGGGCATGTAAGCATACTCACTCATACATTTCTATGGAGTCTTCTGCTTCAGTGACGTAATTACTAGGAATGTAGCCTTCCTGCCTGTAGAGGAGACAGTGTGGTAGATCATCCAGCACTTTCCCATCCTTAGACAGATTTATATGCCTGTACCCCCAAGCTCAGATTAATCTCAAATGGAAACAGAGAGAGAGAGAGAGAGAGATCATGGCCCTCCCTCAAAAAGGACCATGTATCTGATGCATGGTTAGGCCAGTAAAGGGTGGAGCTTTTGAACATGTGGTATTGGTTATATAACAACAAAGACCCCAAGAGGTGACAGAGGCCACCTGTGGAGCTGTACATTGGGAAGTATTGGGAGTATATTCAGTTTGGTGTGGGAAGAACAATCTCTGATGAGGATGCTGAAGGGAATTAAGCTACAGCACTTTGCATGCATGTGCAGTGGTCAAGTCAGGCACAGACATAGGAAGGGATCGCATGAACTCACCCATTTTTATCTCGTGCTCGCCACCATGGTAGGTTGCTCTCCTCCAGGATAAAATACTCATCACCCTTCCTCAGCTGTAGGTCATTTGCATTCATTGGCATATAATCATAAAGGGCCACAACCTTTTTCAGCTCTCCCGGGGAGACTGGTGCTGCTGTTGGCTCAGGGGGCAGTGGCTTTTTCAAGATCTTTATAGGTAGGAAAAAATAGGGGGTGGAGTTGGCTAATTAAGCATTCTCTCTTCTCCCAATTCTCTGGTTTACTAGAGACACCATTCTAACCTAAATTAGGCATAATAAAAACTTTACTCTGCATTCATTCCACAACCACTTTTAAGCACCCATGTAGGGCTTCTCAACCTGGGTACACATGAAGATCACCTAGGGAGTCTTTAATAATCCCAATGCCCAGGCAGTTTTCCACATACCAACTATATTAAAATTTCTGGGACTTGGTTTCAGGCATCAGTATTTTTAAAGCTTCTCAGAAAAAAAACATGTACAGCCAACATCAGGGAACCTACTTGACACTGAACTAGTACATGGATCTACTAAGTGGCTCTGAACCTCTGTTTCCTTTTTTTGTAAAATGAGCATAACTGTCCTCCTTATAATATATGACAAAGAGATTTCTAGACCTTAAGAAGGAATCAAAAAATAAAGTTTTAAAGTAAAATATTAGTCAATAAATTTTGGTGACAATGTCGGGAAAAGGTTCACTCATACATTGCTGGTGGGACTGCGAATTGGTGCAACTACTCTGGAAAGCAGTATGGAGATTCCTCAGAAAACTTGGGATGGAAGTACCATTTTACCTAGTTATCACACTTCTCGGTTTATACCCAAAGGATTTAAAATCAGCATACTACAGTGATGCAGCCACACCAATGTTTATAGCAGCTGAATTCACAATAGCCAAACTATGGAACCAACTTAGATGCCCTTCAACAGAAGAATGGATAAAGAAAATGTGGTATACTTACCCAATGGAATATTACTTAGCCTCAAAGAAGAATGAAATTATGGCATTTTCAAGTAAATGGATGGAACTGGAGGCTATCATGCTAAGTGAAATAATCCCATCCCCCCAAACCAAATGCCGAATATTCTGTCTGTTATATGGATGCTAACCCTCAACAAGGATGGGGGAGAATGGAAGTTCACTTAATTAGACAAAGGGGATTGAAGGGAAGGGGGGAGGGAATAAGAAAGACAGAATGAATTGAACATAACTTTCCTGTGTTC